TTGCAGGCTGGCAGGATGATCTGATGCCAGGCTGGCAGGGATCAGGGAGGGATGGTTTGAGCTCGCAATGGTAAATTGATGATAGTCACCTGACACCATGGGATTTTTCCATGAGGCAAAGCCCATGCCTCATCCAATAAGCAGCATTTTCCAGGCCAACTAATCTACACAGGAGTGGTCCAGTTTTGGCCCCGTTGCTGACCTTTTGCCCTAGCCTGTGGGAGACAAGTTTGCGCCTGGCCAATCCATGCGTTTGCACACCCGGTTTCGCAAGCGTGTAAGTTAGTCTTAACCCATGTGCCCAGGCATCTTCTGCTAGCTCAGCCCTCAGAGTTCCTGCACTCTTACACCACTGGTGGTGCCTCTTAGCCACTTTTGTGCCCCCACCCCTGTGTCATTAGGGCTCTTTGGCAGTTCATGGTCCTCAAGACCAACTTGAGCTGCACGCGTGGGATTTCTTGCATTTGCAGCCTAGGTTCCCACATCAAGCCCCTGTTCCCTCCTTGGCTGTGGGGTGGCCATCCTTGCATGTTTACCTTGCGCAGCTAGCCACAGGTGGTCTTTGCCATGTGCTGCGTTGGCATATCAGGCCTCCTGAGCCCCCTCTGCTCAAGCACACAGTGCGCTAGGTGGCCCTTTTTCCTGTTGCTTTGAGCCATGAACAGCTCCTGCACACCTGAGCTTCAGGAGGCACTTGGAAGGCTTGCAGACCTGCAGGAGGCACTTGGAAGGCTTGCAGACCTGCAGGCAGAGCTTCAGACCTGCCTTGGACCCATGAGGCGCACCCTTGAGGCCAACCAAGAGGAGTTGCATGAGACCAGGCTTTTGGTGAGGAACTTGTCCTGGGACATCGCATGTCTCCACTACTGCGTCGCAGTTTGCTGCCTAATTCTTTTGATAGCCATGCGATATTTTTGCTGAGCATGCCAGAAAAAGAGAGACGAGATTCTTTTCATATTGAAAAGGCACTTCTCCTTTCGGGTCTTGCCATCCCATGTCTGCCAGGTGATGTCTCCAGATTGCCATGGCCTCAGTGGCTGCTTTCATGTCCATAACCCTGGGCTTTGTGTGTGTGTGCGCCAATTTTTCAGGGTTTGGAAGGTGCCCAAAATCCCAACAGCCCTGTCCATGCCATGGCATCCATGGCATGGGGCATCCATGGCATGGTCCACCCAAAATCCAAGGCTTGCCAGGGGAAAATGCCCGCACTCGTTCTTTTGAAGTTCTTTCCCCAAAGTGAAGGCATGTGTGTTGGCCTTGGAGTGGCTCAGCACTGCCTGCACTTGGAGAAATGGCCCATCCAAAATTGTGAATGCAATGATGCTGGTCAGGCAAAACCAAAGAGAGTAACAACCCAAAAAGCAGTTCCAGGATGCCTTTAATGACAGCTGCCATGCTTTGAAGTAGACACCCACCATGGGCGCACCAGGTGAGGGGCCGGACTTGCGTGCCACTGTAATGTGTGACACACTGCTATTTTGAGGGGGTGACTGTTTAACATTGTGAAGCTCGATTCATTATATTTTTGCCACAAAGAGACAACCCCTGGATTCTTGAAGCTGTGGTGTCTGTGGGCTGTCTGCCAGTTGTGTCTAGCCTTTGGGTATCCTTGAAAAGTTGTGTCTTCTGCGCTCAGCCATGCCCAGGTGCTTTGGGGAAGCCAATCTGCTGGTCGGCTGTGAGGATGTCAGTTTGAGAGGAAAACAAATTGTTGTCTTGTTGAGCCTGCTACTGTACTGGGTAATTGTGTGCGCACACCGAAATGATAATGTTGAACGAATGGCCAGCCAGTGGAATGATGTGCCTGCCGTGGGTGGGCAACTTTGCATGCCCAATGTGAACTGCCATGAGTTTTTGGCTCACAGCACAGCACAGATTGCAGGCCAGCAGGCTTGCAGTCCAGACAGCTTGCAGGCAATGCCCCAACAGAGAGGGCTTTCGTATGAGAAGCGGCAAGGTGTCAGAACACTCAAGAAGGCTGTCAAGGTGGCCACAGAGGAGGCTGCAACCTCCAACAAGAAAATTTGCATCTTGAAGAATGATGTGAAGGAGCTGAACTCTGCACTCAAGCACGTTGCGAATGATCTGATGGAGGAAACGTGCCTCCGTGCCAAGGCTGAGCAAGAGACTGAGAAGATCAAGAAGGGCAGGGACGTTGTTCTGGAGAAGCACCAGGGGATGTGGAAGCGGGTCTATGACAAGTGCAACCAGGCAGGGTTGACCAAGCATGACCATGGGCCTGGCAGTTGCTACCCCTGACTTGACCGCAGGAAAAGGACGCCCTCTGCATTGAGAATGCAGACTTGCACTTTCAGATCATGGACTTGCAGGAGAAGCAGGAGCAGAGCTCTTCTTCCAAGAGCCAGCCATCAAATGCCAAGAAGCCTGAGATGTCTAAGAAGTGAAGCCAGGCCAGCATTGCAGGCCTACAGGCCTGCAGGCTAGCTTGAACTTGGCTACCTGGCGCCGTTCTGGAAAAAAGCTTGTGAAGCGGTGGGTGTTTGTGTGTGTGTGTGTTACCCATGTGTGGTTGCATGTGCCGTGCGTGGCCTTTGCTGAGCAGCTCAGTTGCGCCTGTTTAGGTCACTGTGTACATGTCTTCTTGCGTTGCAATTGAAGAGCCCACCTGCGGGCAGCACTCATCAGGGTCAACCGATGCAGCACATGCACTTGGGGCTTTGGGGCTGACGCGCATGGCTTGCAGCTGGGGGGCAGGGAGGGGGACTGGAGCATTTATTGGTCTGGTGCTGAACGAATTTCCTGCCCAATGGAGCTGTTTGGAAATTAGATGTTTTGCGCCACTTGGTTGATTGAAGGTTTGCCCTCCCCCTTGCATGATGTCTTCAAGGTTTCTGGCATTAATGTTTAGTGTGTAATTGGTGTTCAAATTTGACAATCCCATCAAGGAGCATCAAAGCTGAACAGTTGTCCTGGCGAAAGTGCAACATTGGCTGGCAGAACCCCAGCCTCCAATCGGTCAACACCTTCAAAAGTCAGTGGGGCCCTCCCTAGTGTCTGACAAGGGCTGGGGTGAACTGCGAAAACTTGCCTTGAACATCCTTTAAGCCTCTGGCCTTTGTCTTACTTGTTCCCAACCCCTACAGTGATAGGAAAATCCAAGGCATGGAGTCCATGCCTTGGCAGGCTTACAACCCCACAATGTGACTGCGCCCTAGTGAGTGGCAACATTGCCTCTTTGCCTGCCAGGCCTGTGTCACCCTGAAGTGAGGGCCTTAGATGCCTGGGCCTTAGTGTCTGCACCTTAGCTTGCAGCAGGCTCCGCTCTGCTGGGGCCTTAGTGAACCTCAGTGCAGGGCTTGAGCCTTAGTGCCCAGCTGCCCCAAACAGTCAAATGGCAACTTCTTTGGCTGCAAGCGTCTGTGTGCAAACACATTGTGGCTGCAGTGTGGTTTGGTGCACGGGTGTGCAACAGGGCATGAAACTTAGGGTCATGGTCAGCACACGTAGCCCCACATGCATTTTCTCAATGGCTGTGCCCTCTATGCATAGTGCTTTGCAGTTGTTACAGTTCTGAAGCAAAGCAGGGATATATATTGACCACTAGGCCATTGAATATTGCAGTCTTGGTGCAGGCTAAAGTGCCCCATGACCATCCTCCCTCTCTGGCCAGGCCTGCTTGGTCATCTTTACCATGTGCCCAAAAAAATGGTGCGCTTTTCAGCGCTACCCGCTTTTCAGCGGTGCCTATGTTTTTACCCTCCCTCCCTCCCTGTGAACTGCTGCTCCAAGTATTCCATGAAGTAGTCCGAGCCACAGTGCAGGGGGTGGGCACAGGGAAGGGTTGGGATGTGGGCACAGGGAAGGGTTGGGATGTGGGCCTGGCAAACAAAACTAAATCTTGGTATCTTAGAATGTTGGTGCCTGTATCTTAGTTCCACTTCTTCTGGTTTATATCATATGTGCATGCATATGCATCTGCGTTTTGTACATACACACACATACCTATATAATTGCACATATATATATATATACAAATGTACATATGCATGTCCGACATCGTCTAACCGAGAGCTGCTTACTCTGCCAAGCCAGCCTATTCCTGCGCAAAAGCTCCCAAACGACGCCGGTTGCAAGATTTTGATATCGTGCACGCAGGGAATAATTGTCGCAACCCAACACCATCAGCTTGCACAACCATAGTATGACAAAAACAAGCCGCACCCCCCAATCAAGCAACGCCAACTGGCCATTTGGCATCATTTCCTGTCCAAAGTTGGACTTTCGGAGGTCCCAACAGTTGAGACAAGAATTCGTTGCCAAATATTCTGTGTAGGTTGCTTTCTTGGGGCATGGCGATTGGACAACTTCGGGCAACGGGATTCTCGGGGAGGCGTCTGAAAGGCAAGCCCTGAAGGACGCACAACAGGGAACCTCGGGAAAACCCAGAAGGGAACCTGGGTGTGAACTTGAAGAACTGGACCCGTGCATGGATTCCTTTCATTCGCATACCGCAAGAAAACCTGCGCGCCCAAAAAGGGAAGCCTGACAGTTTCCGGTTTCTGTCAAGTTGCCCATCCCATCTTGGAATCCCTTGAAAACATGGACATGCGCCTGCAGCCCCCTTTCGGGACCCCCCCGTCTGAATCAAACATACTCTTCAGCAAATGGAGGTATTGCACCGGTATTGCGGGGCCCCCGAGCGGTATGGCACCCCCCCCTGCGATACGGTGCAAGCGGAAGCTGTGGCGCTCGGAAGGGACACGGGGGAAAATGAAGGGAATGTAGAAAACGGAAGTTGATGGAACATGTAGCTGGAACATGGATGGACCATGCATGGAAAATGGAAGGAAAATGCATGGACCATTCCTGGAAACTGGATGGAATGAAAAAAGGAAAAAGGATCGAAAATCCGGAGAAACAAATGGAATAAAGTGGATGGTTTGAAAAAATGGATGGAATACAATATGGAGAAAAGGGACGAACCGAGATCTCCCCAAAAACCGCAGGGGATCGATCTCCGCCCATCGCACCGATGGCGCCTGCAGGTCCTCCTGGGCCTTCTGCAGGGCCTCCGCCCGCGCGAGCTCGAAGTCCTCCTTCGCCGCCTTCAGCCTCGAGGGGTGGGGGTGGGGTGCGCATGCACTCAGAAGGTCAAATCAGTACTTCATTCAGCTTCAGCGCTGGGCACTTCGGAGGGGTGGGGGCGGGTGAAGGGGGTGGGGGCGGGGTGGTGGGGTCCCGGGGGGGGGGGGGAAGGGTAGGAGAATCAATTGTTTGGGGTGCGGGTAGGGGATCAAAATGGCAGGTGGTTGGAGTGAAACAGGGCCAACCACATGCAGGCTTGTTGCTTTGGCGTTGTTTTGGCTGTTTCTGAAGAGGAACGTGTCGTCTTAAAGGCAGGCCATGTGAACGAATCAGAACTCACCCCTCGAAAGGAACCGCCGTCTTCGATCCCAGTTGCTTGGCGAGGCCGTGAAAAGAACCTCGCTTTGGAAGGTCAGCCAACATGTACCGGTGGATATCTCGGGTTCGCAAAAAAATAGAAAAAACACGCTGACACCCCACGGAATTCGCCATCTGAGACCCCATGAAGGCTGGTAGTTTTTGTGACTGAATCATTCATACAGCGCTGGGCGTCAATGTCCGCACATGCCGCGCTCCTCATCACCCCCTCCTTCAGTTCCAATGGCTTATGACTCCCTCTCAGTGGTGTCTGTCCTCCCCTTAAACCATCACGGAAGCGGACTTCTGCGCTCGTTTGGTGGATTGTTGGGGAGCGAAGCAGTTGTCAAATCCGAGGCCCTCAGAATTCCCCAGGGCCCCAGCTGCTCATCCAAGTCAATGCGCGCTTGCAGGCCCGCTTCCACCACCTCAGCCATCCCTACCCTGCAAATAAACAACTTAAACTAGGTCCTCCAGTAGAGAGGTTAGAATAAGCTAGGTACCCTTTTTCCTGTAGTCTATTTTGAGGGGAACCCTCCCCCAAAAACGTGTAAAGGGCACTACTGGGGGACCTAGACAAACAGCAGGCGGGCAGGATGCAACTCCAAGCCCCGATTTTTTTCTGACAACGGCATCATTGATCACTTGACCTTTGGGGTGCGTTTTTTCGCGCTCTGCGCCCAAAGCGCGGAACGTGTGCTATGGTCCAAGCTGTGGGTGATGATCTGAGAGCTAAATGGGGGCCTGATCCATCCCGTTTAGACGGGGGGATCAACAAGATAGTATCGGCTATTGACCACGCAGTGGTTCAGCAAACTCTTATGCCTGTAAAAGATCCCTTTGGCTCATGGCAAAACAAGCCGATAACTTCATATTGCACTCCCGGAGTTCCTCGGAACGAAAACCGCCGTCCTTTAAGTCTCCCTTTGCAAGATGCTTCCTCCTTTTCGGGGCTTCCATGTGAAAATTTGCGGAGTAAAGCTTGTCAGCTCTGGACTCAAGTGCCTGCCTGCTTGGAAACAGCCGCGTCGGCCTGACATGGCTCTCATGGGCTCCCAAACCTTCATGAGCGCGTCTTTTTTGATGGCTGATGTTCAACTGGCGCCACTTCACCAACATCAAAGTAACTAATCAAGTAGCAGGTAAAGGGGAACCAACCCAGGTTCCCACTTTGACTCCCAGAAATGGTCAAAACACTGACCCCATTTCAAGGAACAAACCGCCTCAAAACGAAAAAGGACCAAACTGGGCACCACTGAAGGTCTGAGTTGTCGCGTCGAACATGGGAACCGGTGGGACCTTCGTTGGCGAGATTTGGCGATTGACACCCGTCTAAACATGTCCATGATTGGAGATGCTGCTTTGAACGGGGTCTATGATATGGTCTGATGACGGAATCCTCAACTTTTGGGCATGCTTCATTCGCCAACATGAAACTTTCTGTGGGGTTTCTGAAAGACAATGTTTCTGTCGAAAGGACCTAATTATCAGAAGCTGATACGTTCTGTGTTCGCTGGTTCTCTCACAGCGCAAGCCTGCAAATGCAGGTGCAGGTCTGGGGGGGGTTGTTTTGATTGGTTTTGCGACTCCATCCGCCGCCGCCGCGGCGCTCGCCTCCTCCTCGGCCGCCCGAAGCTTCGCTGCAGCTTCCTCGAAGGCGCTCTGAGCGGCCTGATGCTGAATGGGAACGGCTCAGTGGCCGTTTTAGGGATCCAAACATAAAAGGTTCCCTGCCCTTTTGTCCACTAACATGGAACCTGACAGGGGCTCCTTTAAGGAAACTGAACTTCCATACCCTCCCACAGGTGCTACGTTTGTAGGAGGAAGGCAACCGTTCGGAGCCAATTATGACTAAAAAAAGGAGACCAAAAAGGGGACACTGGAAGGTCAAAAAGTCGGCCTTGGGCAAGTGAGCCGGATCTAAGTAAAACTCCTGCTCGCGTTTGATTGGTGCGTGTCCCCTAGTCAGAATTTGCGCCACTTTTGGAGGGAACACCCCTATTGGTAGGATGACTATTCCTCTGGCATACGAGTCTGGTGTTGGGGGGGGGGTTGGACCCCCATTTTTTGCAGGAAATGGGGGGATCCAACCCCATTTTCATTAGAAAGCGGCGGGCCGACCACATCTTCACAAAACATGCTCACATCTTCAACAAAATATGCTCGATTTACAAAATGGGGGGGGGGCCAACCTCGGTCCGATGTGGCACTGGGCCGACCCCCAATAAAAGAAAATGGGGGTCCAACCTCACCATGAAAAAAACGAAAACGGCAGCCTCGCGGAAAAAGAAGGGGACATCAATCTCTAATTCGGTTCAAGAATCTCGGCTCAGATTATTCCGAGATGGCAAGCAAAAGGCTGGATGGATTGTAGTGGCCTGGACCCTCAAACAGCAAACAGTTATTTGTAGTTCTGTACATGGTGTGTTTTCTTGATGCGAGATAAAAGCGATTCTATGCCATTTGAGGGTCTTTTAGAAAAGGCTTCTCTTTCAACCAGCTGGCAACCAAATAGCTGCTCTTTTAGAAAATGGGGTCAACCAATCCAGACAGAAAAAATTATAATTTTAGAAAATGGGGCCCTTCCTGACCAGACCAATTTTCCTTCATTCACAATTTAGAAGATGGGGGGTGCCAACCCCATCATGGGAGGCGACATCCCTACAAAAAACCAGCCCAAAATGGGCTCAACCGCCCCCATTCACTACATTTATGTCAAACCCGGCTCCCTGGCCTTTCGCCTTGCGGCCGGGGCAAAGCAGCTTGAAAAGCTAGTTTTCGAGCACTTGCCTTCTACTCTTTGTAGCCTTTTGCGAGTTTGTCGCTTTTTGCAGCCCTTTCGCGTTCCAAACGCCGGCCTTTCGCGTTGCAGGTTCTTCCGTTCGCGGTAGACCCTTCAGCATCACCCTTTACACAATTTCAGCCTTACGATTTAGAAGGGCTTTCACGTGCTGTGGCTTATTGCAATTTGCCACAATTGCGTGATCACTTGCAATGCGCAGGGGAGATGCCTGATCGACAGCAAACCAAAAAATAAGCCAAGCAATGTTGCGGGTGGATCTGGCGTGACGCAGTTCACGTGTGATATGTAGGCATCCGCGGTGCATCCTTTCAGCGGCTGGGTAACAGGGTTACAAGTGGAATGGCACCCTCTCTAGAGTGAGCCACCTGTTGTCAAGGGCCCAGGTGTCCTGGTGAATTGGATCCAAAATCAAGTACCATACAACTTCATTTGGCAAGGCAAATCAAAACAGAGTGTGTCCATTTTTTGGGGACCCGTCCCCCCCCCAAAAAAAAACAGAGCCGATTTAGGGGGATTTGCCTGCCTTTTAAAACCACCAAAAAAGAGGTCCCCGCAAAAAAGACACACCCAAGTAGAGCCTTAGGACCAAGGGTTAAGTACGCCAGGTCCCGTTCAACCGGGCGCCTCCACCTCTGCTTCAGCTTCCGCAATGGCGGCGCGTGGTGCTGCTCCGTCGTTTCCCTCCTGGCCGTCCTGGGGCTTTGGTTGTGGGGGTGGTTTCGAGGGCCACCCTTTTCAGTCGTTGGTTTTCCCTGGGTTTGGCCGGGTGGTTGAAAAAACCAATGCTTTATCCTTATGCTAAATGGTAGTGGTTCCCTTGTAATGGCGTCATACTATGCATCCTGGGATTGGGAAACTCGGGATGCCTGCCGTTCTGAACAACCCTGAGTGCTGTTGGGGGTTGGTCTTTTTCAGACGCAACTGACTGTCCCCAATCAAAATCCATAGCCTCCCCCCGACCACGACCAAAGCTGACAACTGAAAGGTTTTGGAAGACTGCTTTCATCAATTGAAAACGCATCATTTGAGAACTCCCCTCCCTATTCCATCATTGCTGGAACGAACGAACCCTGCCACTGGCTGGTGCTTGAAAACCAAACCCAAACTGGCCATTTGCTGCCTGGTTTGTGGCAAAAGTTGTTCATGACCCATGTGCTCATTTGCCCATCCTGAAAGACAAACACCAGCCATGGCTTAAGTGGGCCACCAACTGGGGGGGCGGAGGTTCTGGATCAGCATAAGGAACTTTGCAACCCACAAACTCGAAAAAGCGCGTTTTCTGTGATACCAGCGTGGCTCATTGCCATGCCTTCGCCACTTCGCATGGGGCATGACCTCAAGACCATCTGCCTATTGGTGGCGCAGTTACAAATGGGGCGCAAGGAGGCCTGGCCAAGGTCAGCTCCGCGTACGCGACACGGGAAAGCCAGGGCTGGGCGTTCCTCTGACAAGTTGTCCTCTTAAGCTACCCTTGCCTGGCCATGGGTAAAAATCCCATACCCCCAGTGAACATCCCAATCCCCACTAAAATAAACTAAAACGGGTGGTGAATTCACCTACCCCTAAAATGGGATCCCAAAACGGTTTTGACAACCACATCCACCTTGGGAGAGAACTCAACGGACCGGCCGGCACCCGGGCCTCGGATTCCTTCGCGGACTTCGACTTCTCCGAGGCCTCGCTCCCCGCCTGGAGAGTGCGTGTGGCCAAATGGATCCCTGCAAAACGTGTGGACTTCTTCCCGGTGAACACCGGAAAAGAAACACCAACATGGGAAACCGTGAGCATGGAACGCTAGCCGTGATTCGAGTTAGGCCCAGCTACAGAATGTATGCTTTGTTGCTTGCTTCACTTTGAGTCACTGGTAAAATGTAAAAAGCGTATCCTAAGCTAAGTTCGATGTAGGGCTAGGACGCGGAAGGATCAGCTCTGGCTGCGCTCCGCCACAATCCGTGGGCTGCGGAGCTGCCAAGAAGACCCGCAGCTTCTCACTTTGAAGGCCTGAAAATCTGGGGTGACCATGAGCTGTAAGCCTGAGGTCTCTTTCAGGCGTGCCTAAATGGGGACCCCGGATCAAATTGGTTGATTTTGATTGACCAGTTTGTTGGGCCCACCTACTAGATCCAGCTGGGAGTCACGGATCGGACACGAAACCAATCTGGTAGGGGGCGAAAATCACCAAATGATAATTTGTGATGTACATCCTCACATGAATTTGGTGATATGAGAGGATCACTTCTTAATTCCAACTGTTGGAATTAAGGTGTCCGAGTCACATTCTAAAAAACAAAGGACCTGTGGGCAAGTCTAAGCCTTAGCTTTTGGCACCAACCTAATATTGTCACAATGTGCGATTCTTCCGGTCCATACTGGTCTGTCTCAGAATGGGGGAATACCCCACAAACGGGTCGTTTCCCTGTGAATGCCCTTTCAAAAAAATAGGGAATACCGCCCAAAAGTGCACCACGGGGTGGACGAAATCCTGCACCACCTACGAAACCCTGGTATGATGACTCCCCTGCAAATACCAACAAACAATGGTTTCCCATGGTTTCTTAGGTGGCGCAGGATTCCGTCCATGAACCGTATGTACGCGAACTGACCTGCCCGAGACTCAGCTGTTTGAGAGAGAGAGAGAGCGAGAGAGATAGAGATAGAGACCCCGCCCCCTCTCCAATGCCTCCGACTCGCTCTCCGACTCATCCTCTGAGGCGGGCTTCTCGTCAGACCTGGGGCGTCGGAAAGAGGAAGAGGACCAAGCTTGACTGGCTAAAGCACTGATTTTGGAGCCTTCACGGAACACTTCCTTTTGATCACCATCTTACCACCCACATCGGCCATGCTCGTCAACAGTTAGCTGCTGAAGCCTCTAAGTTCCAAGCGCCTTTCTCCTCCTCCGACGGCCCTTGCGGACTTCGCGCCGTCTGCGACCTACCAAGCTGCCGAGTGGGAAACCGTTTGACCGCGTTGGTGCTTTGGTGAACCATGCCTGTTTTTTTTTTTTTGGTGCATGTCAGCCCAGGGTGAATAAACAAAACATGTTTCTTTGATACGGGGTTCGTTCCCGGGTTTTGGTGGGTTCATCACTTCCGGAGGGGAACACCGTCTTACTAAGCAGGGGCTGATGAATCCGGGGTCAAGATCGGGGTTTCATGCGGAGTCCTGGGCGTCCCAGCCGCGTCGGCGGCTGGCGCCTCTCCTTCGCCGATGGCGACGCCCGTGGTCCCGTCTTCTCCTCCGGCGGCCTGCGAAAAACCAAAGCAGACGCGGCTCATGGGGGAACCTCCTGAAAAGGGAACCCGGGAGCCTCCACTGAAACTTGGTTGACGTTGCAAGGGGAGCAAGCATTTAAATTTTAGCAGCTAAGTAGGGATTCCAACCACTAAACCACAATAAGCAAAAGTGTAAAATGTTTCCCAACGACACCCATGAAGAGAGTGGGTCATTCTCTTGCTGCTAGAAATGCAAGGGACGGAAGGACCCCTTCCGTAAGACCGTCCAACCGGCGGCTTCCTTTGGGAATGCTGGGTTCATTCCGAAATTCCATTTCTCCTCCCCTACCTATCGCACCAGCAAGTTATCCCCATACACGGGACAAGCTCACCCAAAAGGCGGGCTCGGGGCCGGCAGAGATCTAGGCCATAGAACGGCAGAACCGCGCTGCGTTCACACCTTTTCTGCCTGACCTGACGCATGCTGTACAGCAATAAGAGGGCCATGCCAAAACTGAGCTCGAACCCCACTAAGCAGAATCTCAGGTTTGGGCCTGCCATGTGAAAACGATTGAACCGCTGCTGAACCATTTGCATTTAAGTTGAAACTTTTAGAACTTGGCGTTTGATCCCTCAGTGTGGAAAGAGTGCTCTTCAGAGCGCCTTCCAATGAAGGGCGCGGGCACTTCTTCCTGCCCAACCCTGGTTGCGGAACCAGAGCTGATCTGTAAATTGGACCAGCTCGGATTCTGATGGGGCCCACTTCGGCTCTGATGGCTGAGTTACACTGGGTGCTAAAAAGGAAGGGATTCTCGAAAACCTGAAGGCAACCGTCCATTGTGCAATGGGGAAAGGTTGCGCCCCTCCCCAATCCCATGTTCTAGGGAGGGATGTTCAAACGAATCCGAGTTCTTCAGCACCCAGTGCAGTTCGAAGGCAGCCCGCAGCACCGCAGACTCATGTTGTATGAGTATGAGCATTGCTGAGCTGCTTTAAGACTTCCGCCCGGGTGGGCCCCCGGAGCACGGGTCAAAGGCGAACAGGACAGGCCTGCACCTCAAAGTTGCCAGCCTCCATGTCCCTAGAAAGACTCAGAAAGGGGCCCTCAACACTGCCCTGCCCGCCATTGTCACGAAAAGCCAATGGAATCCCCCAAGCTGATAGGAAAAACCCATGCCTGTGCCTTCAGCCGATTCAGGCGCAGCCGCGAACTCCGGAGGGTGTTTTTGCCCCGGCCGGAAGACAAACAAACCCTCACTACATGAGGGTGCGCGGTTTCGAAAGCGCGCGGTTTCGAAAGCGCGCGGTTTCGAAAGCGCGCGGTTTCGGTCGCTGTCGGGGGCTTCAGGCCTCACTCACCTCAAGTCGGAAGAGGGAGGCTGGCAGATGGATGCTCGATTCAAGCTGAGTTTGTTTAATCTCAATGTGGGACCCTCTTTCTGGTTCACAACTTCTGGGTGGTGTGTGACAGGCAAAGGGAAAAAGCCTCCAAGCATTCGAGGCCGGTCGCCTCCAAGCAGCGGGAACCTGGCCAAAGAAAAAAAACAGAAAGAAGGGCTGAACCAAGGGGATGACAGTAGCCAGCAGGATGACCCTACCCATGTTCAAAGGACTATTTCGAGATGTTGGCCCCCTGTCCCGCACTCTTGGCAGATGCTTCCGTGCCTCGCCCTGCCTGAGGCGCTGGCAGAGGCTCACTTGGCCGACGAGCTCCGAGGCCAAGTCCGCCGCTTGGTCCGCCGCCATCTGACTGCCTCAGTGCTTGTAGCACTGACTGGCTTGGCAGACCGGCAGAAGCAAATCCGAACCTCCCCCCCACTACATGGCTTCAAATCCAAATCAACCAGTTTGTTTTTGCTCATTTGGGGGTTTCATTGCCCTTCTTTCCACTAACATGGCATCTGACAGGGGTCCCTGCAAGAGGAAAATGAAATTTTAGGGACCCTCCCACAAATGTTGTTCGTGGAGGAAGGGCAAACCTTTCGTTTGCCACTGGAATTCTTCCCAAAGTAGAATTCATGGAGTAAAGCTATTTGGCGGGACAAGGGCTCCCTCATCTTAGGGCTGATCTCAAAAGGGGAACATTGGCTGACTTCCTTGCAGGCTGATGCTCAGAAGGAAAAGCATGGCTGAGTTCCTGGTGGCTGCCTAAGCCATGTTTCTTTGCTCGTGCTCTGCTTGATTGTTGCTGGCCAACGGAAAATCAGTCGAAACGAAGGACAGTGGGCCTTGCTGGGTGCTGAATAGCGCCGGTGGCAACATTGTATATAATATTATTGTGGAAAAGTCAAGCTTCATAACCAGGAGGGGAACACATGATTCTAGTCAATACTCAGCACATGCAGAGTTTGGCGTTGCCCACAACATCACCCCTGCAACTAAAACAAGCACACAGTTGACGGAACAGGTCATAAACAACGCAAAAACAAACAAACCCACCAACCAACCCAACCCAACCAACCAGGAAAGGACGCCAAGGGATCCCATTCAGAAAAAAGAAGAAGAAAAGCGCCGCCAAAGCCACTCTCAGAGGGCAGGTCCTCCTCCAGTAAGTCCGCCTCCCGCACACCCGAGCCCCTGATGGCCCATGTGGCAAAGGGACCTAGCCTTGGCCGGGAAAACCCCCGGGCTCCAAATGCTTCTTTCGAGGTTCTTCTGAGGATTTGGTTCTTGTCAGGATTTCTCCTTTGGGTGCTTTGGAGGTCAAGCACCTCTTGGCGTGACTTCGCTTTTGCTTGGGAGAAGCCCGGCCGAACAAGTTTGGGGGCGCAAACTTTGAGCGCGACCGGCCTCTTCCCCCTCCTCCGAGGATTCGTCGTGGACTGGCCTGGGCAAAATTGAGAGACCCTCTGGCTGGCGGACTGCAGGGTGTCTTCCGGAATGAGGACACAGACTGCTCTTCGGGAGTTGGACCCCAAACAGCCAAGGAAAAGAGTCCCAAACAAACCTAACTACATAACTGCAATGGCTCATGCCGAATGCCAAGTCAGGGGGTCCTGGAGGTGGTGATCGATGCAGTTCTTCACACTTGAGCCGCTGCCACCCTAGCTCCAATCCTTTATCCTTAACGATCCTTGGCAGCCTCCAGCATCAACGAAAGGGCATTTCAAGGCCCAGACGTGTGAACTCGGGGTGCCATGGGTGCCAAGAATCCCAGGCCGTTAGGTAGAACCCCTCTGCCCAGGTGCTCTTCGTGCACCGGCGACCCCGCCAAGGTCTCAGGAGATACCTCGGTTGTTTCTGCCTTCACTTGCCCAAAGGGCCTGGACAAAAAAAAACAAAACTTTCCAGACCCCTGACCAAAAAAAAGCACCAAAAGCGAAGCAGAAGGTCAAACGGTCGGCTTTGAACAAGTGAGCTTAAGTTCAGTCCCAGGTTTGAAGCGGCTCCAGTCTTGGGTTCTGGAAGGGTTCGGGGGTTGTTGGGGATGCCACCTGGGCTGGTGTCCTTTGTTCCTATTGAACAGCCCCAAGAAGGGTCTCTCAAAGAATCACATAAACTTCCATTTTCATTTGCTTAAGTCCCTCTTTCCAGTAGTGATAGATTCCCTTTAAAACCAAGAGGGGAAATGACAAAAGCATTTTCCCCCCAGAATCAAAGATAAACTCCCGGACTCCCACGGAAACAGGCGGGTGCATGTCTTTCAGGCCCTTTTGGTGCACACCTCCAACCCCGAAGGCATCCACTCGCGATTCGCATCTGGGGAAATTAGGGAATCTCAGGGTAAGCTCATTTTCTTTTGCCCAGATTTGGTTCTCAGGCAACCCTGGGAGTGATTTGGGAGGTCTCACTTGAAGGTGTAAGTTGGCCTTGCTTTAAAGGGTCCCCCCCCCCCACATTTCCAGGTCCAGGTGCAGTAGAGGGCCCCAAATCTTTTCAAGTAGATCCTTGATATCCCCACACCGCAATGTACCAGATTGTGTGGCTGGATGTGGCGGCTTCACTTGGGAATCAATCCAACCCTCAAAGTGAGGAACGCTTGGATGTGGGCTGAATCCCCTTCACGTGCCTCACACTTAGACAATCAGTCTGTATGCTTTGTATATCCGCAGCGCCCAAGAATTATGCGCTTGAGCCCGCAAGTGGTTCGCCTGCTTCAGCCGATTGGACAAACATAAAGCTATGCAGCTATACGTTGGTACAGGCTCAGGGTGCGAGGGAACTTTGGCAGGGTCATACCTCTCTGGTGATGCCGTGGAGTTACTCCGCTAAAAGCCAAGCTTTAAGCTGCTGCGCGCTCGAACAAACCCAGCCCAAGTTGATAGCCAACGATCATAAAATGCTAAGTGCAATGCAGGCAAACCAACCACACAACACATGGTAACTCGCAGAGTCTCCTTGCTCATTCATTGAGGCTCATTGGCATGGGCATGAATTTGAATGAGCGACCCTTTGGTGGGCGGGCGGGGGGTCATGCAACCCCTTTTGAGGTGGCTCCCTATTCAGGTCCATAGCCAGGTTGACTTGTATCATCTGCATGAACTCTGGGATGGCTGTAGGTTTGTGAAATTCATTGAGCTCGCTCCAAGTCCTCGTTTTTTGCGTCCTAAAGGGGCACCATTGAGTCGACGTGCAAAGGGAAGCCAGCTTCAGGTGCCGAAGGGGTGTGTTCGTTTCTGCTGGGGTTGCTTGAAAGGGAAACTGGAGGGCCAGTTTAAGCATTTCAGGGTCACGTTTTGAGACCCCCCCCCTCGTTACTTAGGTGCGGGTGCTTTCGGTCCTTCTAGAAGTCCAACACCTGAGATAGGGTAACCCCCAAGGACCATCACGGCCAACTAACATGGAAGTGCAAAAAGGCCCTTTCCAAGAGGAAAGTAGTCTTTCTACAGGGATCTGTGCACTTCCATGTTAGCTGGTGGGAGGGTACGCAGTCAAACCTTACCCTCGACTCGCATCGCTTCAAATGACCCCTTTGGCCATGCGGCAGGACTCCCGGCGCAGGTGCTGAGCTCATCCAACGGGAGGTGTCCTGGGAGGAACTTTCCGGTAGAACCAAACTGAAACCAGCGGAATCCACCTATTTTCAAGCCAACCCAAAATGGACTCAGCCATATTCAGACCATCGATGTTGCTTCGCGTCATGTTGATCCGAAGGTCAGACACCAAATGATTTGGTGAACTGATATCCAGATACGAATTCGGTGATGTGCTAGGGGATATAGGATCACTCTCTCCAAATGTTGGAATTAAGGTGCCCGAGTCATAAAAAAGAAAAACGGACCCTTCTATTGCGCGTCTTGCCGGTTGCCGGCGTCGACCACTATGACCGACGCGCCCGTAGTTGCTAACGCCGGTTTTGGCCGGCCAGCGGAAGCC